TATTGAGAGAATAGCTGTTAAACAAAAAGGAACTAAAATTTGAGGACGGGGAAATATCCATCCTATCCAAATGGAAAAATACACAAAATTAAGAGATTCCTTCTGATAATATGACACAGAGAAAAAGCTGAGGATGTAGTTGTTACAGTCTTTCTCTGAAACGTTAGAAAAATAAGAAAGTCAGAGCACTTAGTCACACAAAGATCATTTTCAAGAGATTGAAAGTATGACTCAAATATGCTCTCAATCAAACTAGAGAGGCCGAGTCTAGAGGTCAGAGACAGAGAAATCAGAGATTCAAAGCTTAAGAAGGTTTCAATGTGCTGCTGCTGCCTTAAAGCTGGAGGGTACAATGTGGAAAGGAATGCACATAGCCTATAGGACCTAAAACCAGCCACACTCAGCTACCTCAGCAAGAGAAAAAAATAGAGAAAGATGATCTCAAAAATATCTATCAATGTGAATTTTCTTCAATGGAGTAAAACCTAGTGTAATTTATGCAAGACTCACCTCACAAGATTTTAAAGAAAATTATATCAGTATAAACACTGCCAACTCTAAATGAAAGTGATAGAGTACAACATGGGAGAAGGTTGTGAGATCCCCAAAATTCTCTTGATAAGAAATGATCTGATAAAACTGCTCAGCTGAGAACACATGCTGCATCTAATGAAAAAGGAAGGATTACTGAGATCGCAGAGCCAAGAGCTCAGAGCACAGACCTGACAGTCCAGAGGACACATCCAAGTGAACAGAGAGTGAAGCTGAGTGCCACAAAGGATTTTTCCAGGCCTTAAAACCTAACAAAGAAGTTTTTGAGCCAGTGATCTCTTTTTATCTTCCATTTTTTACCCGCTTATGTCTATAGCTGTTATCCTGTGCTTGTCACATCATCATAGGTTGGGAGTTTTATGGGCAAATAATTTGTCTCCTCAGTTTTACAGACCCACAGATGGGATGAAATGTCTTCAGGAGCTTTACTTAACGGATTATGCCCAAGATCCTCATCCACATCTGGTTTATATAATTTAGATGATGACATGTTTACTTTTGAGCTCATGCTGTAATGGGATGAGATTTTGGCGAATCTTGGGAGAAGTTGACTGTATTTTTACATTTGGTAGGGAAATAAATTTTGGGGACCTGAAGGCAGACTATGGTAGGCAGAATTCTAAGATGGTTTCCACAAGTTACCAGCCCACAGTGTATTATACATATCTTCCTCCAGTTACTCAATCCAATACTAATCTATGTGTTACTGTAAACAGATTTCACAGATATAATTAGGTTCCCAGATCAGTTGATCATAACATCCAGAGACAATCTGGGTGAGCCTAACCTAACCACATCATCCCTTTAGATGAGGGTCTAGAGTCAGAGACAGAAAAATCAGAGATTAGAAGCTTTAGAAAGAATCAATGTGCAGGTACACAGTGAAGATTGGAGGGGTTCACATCATAAGGAATGCAAATGGCCTCTAGGAGCTGAAAATGGCTTGGTTGACAGCCAGAAAAAAAAATTGGGGACCACATTCCTACAGTTGCAAGGAAGCAAATTCTGAAAGCAACATGAAAGAACTTGGACATAGATTTCCTCCCAGAACTTCCAATGAGAACTCAGTCTGGCTGAAATTTTGAATCCTCCTCAAGATATCTAGGACATCTAAAATCCTCCTCATCATTAATTGTCCAACTAATTCTCTTCAAGTACTTGACCAACCAATCTTTTAGTCATTGCTCATGAGGCAGGGTAGATTCATACCTCCAACCATTAAGGGTTCTGTACAAAATGGACAACCATATGATTCACCCAAAATCATACGTCAAATCCTAGGGTCTTTTTTCTACTATTCTGGGTTATCCCCGAGTGGGACTACAGTGAGGCAGCCATCCACTTGCACCTACTATCAATATACCAAGAAGATACAACCAGGAATTGATACATTGTTTCATATCTCTTTTTCTAACTGGTCACAAGGATGAAGAATTCACCAAGATGCCATATATGATATATGTTGGTTGAGAGAGAGGCAATGAGTCTGATCAAACTGCGCATGAAATTTACTTGTGCCTTCTTGGTTTACTCTGGTCTGATCTTGTAAAGCCATTTGCAATAATGGTTGAAAGCTGATGTCCACACAAAACTTTATTATTCAACAGAGTAGACAGCAACACGTTCATTAAGAGTAGCTTGTTAGTATGGAAAATTAATACTTCATGGTCAGGTGTTATGTCTCTACTGGGTTTGATAGCACGCCAGGAGCAGATTCTCAAATGTAGACTATTTGCCAAGAAAAGAGGGAATGATTTTGCTCAAAAAACCCTAGAGGCATATACTTGAATTCTACTATTGGGGCTTTCTAAAACTCCATGGAGCCTCTCTTTCTAGCATGGACACAATACAATTGGATCTGCAGGGTCATGAGGTTGAAGTATCAGAGAAGGTCACACTACAGTCTGGAACTACTGTAGATCTTTTTCTTGCTCTGGGTACCACTTAAAACTGGAAACCATATGGAGTCCAAGAACAAAATCAATATAATACATATTGTCTCTAAAATCTAAGGTCTTAATTCCTTCAAGCTAAGTGTAGTAAGATCATCTGCAGGTATGTACTTAACTGCTACCCATCTAGGGCAGTTTATCACCCATGATTTCCCACTCTGGCATTTCTTCTGTTCCTTTGTGAGGCTGTGCTCCTGTGGCATATACAGAACCCTCCACTGGGTTTTTTGTTTGTTTGTTTTGTTTTGTTTTGTTTTGTTTTAATGGCACGATCTCGGCTCACTGCAACCTCCACCTCCAGGGTTCAAACAATTCTCCTGCCTCAGTCTCCAAAGTAGCTGAGATTACAGGCACCCACCACCACGCCTAGCTAATTTTTTTTTCATAGTTTTAATAGAGACGGGGTTTCACCATGTTGGCCAAGCTGGTCTCAAACTCCTGACCTCAGGTGATCCACCCATCTCAGCCTTTGAAGGTGCTGGGATTACAGGCGTGAGTCACTTTGCCCAACCCTGGGTCTTTTTATAACACAGATTCCACAGTTGTTCAGTTTCACTTTGCAGTGCCTGTCTTCCAGGGACTGAGAAGTTTCACCCCTTACAGTGCGGGAGCTCTCCTTGGTGCTGCTGAATATGTGTTCTTTAGTAAGGGAAGCTTTTACTGTTAACTGTATATAGTGAACTAATATCTCTGCTGATATTCTGCTATATATAGTAGGTCTTATACAGCCTGTAAAGCCCATTACTCCTCAGTACTTTGGAGAGCGTAAGTAAACCCTGTTAGACAATTTATTTGTCCAAAGTTATTTAGGTAGACAGGGGCTAAACTTGGAGACTCAGTCATTATTATTTACATTTTTATTAAGTGTTTACTACTTGTCAGTTACTTGTGTTGGGCACTAGAAATACAAATATAAAATGGACATGCCATGTTTTGAGATGCAGAATCCACTGCAGTCTTTCTCATTTTTTTTACTGTAGCCCACAGTCAGAAACTGATTTTCGTCATAACTCATGGTGCACACACATACATACATACGTACATAACTGAAACAAAGTTCACAAAAAATATTCACTCTAGTTAGAATGCTATTTGATATTTGATATTTTCTGTTTGACTGTATTCAATTCTATTGTATCCTATTTCATTTTTAAAAAATTACCTATCTTGACCCATTGAATTGATTTCAAGATCTACTTCTCATGGGGGAAGGACAACTTCAATTTGAAAAACGTGGGCTTATTTAATAATCTGTGATGTGTGTCTTATATAGCACACATATTTATATTTTTAGGCACATATTTTATGTAAAGGTGGGAGTGGGGAACCTGAAGGGTCTCTTTCTAAGCCGGTGCTTCTCAAACTTCAGTGTGCATAGGAATCTTCTTGGGATATTGTTAAAATGAAGATTCTAACTCAGTAGGTCTGAGGCAAGACCTGAGATTCTGCATTTCTAATTAGTTCCCCAGGTGATGATTATGCAGCTGGTTTATGGACCACAACATGTTCATTACAAAGGATTTAAAACTCAAATGTATTGATGGGTCTGCTGAACTGCTAAAGTGTTACCTGACAAGTTTCCTGAGAGTGAACTCAACAGAGAAAAGAGCATCTGCAGACAAGATATTAACCCATGAGAACAGCACAACCACTATCATGCAGTTATGTTTTCCTGGCCTAGCCTGCAATATCTGAGTTTTGTGAGGAGAATATTTATGTATGCAAAACAAACAAATCAGGAATACACACAAATGATCGTTTTGGCAAAAAAAAAAAAAGAATTTGGAAGATATTAATGAGAGGCCCAAGCAGCACCAAGGTAATATCTATGTGTACCTGGTTACTATAACTATAAAGTGGAGAGAGGGCTTTACCCATTTCTATGGGGGTCATGAGTTGGTGGACATTGCTTACCAGTGATTCCAGAGAAAATGACAGGGTTTTGACACCATAAATCCTCTATCAGTAAAGGGTGCAGGACCTGGGAAAAAAGGCATAGTGCCCAGCAGACGTGGCAGTATCTAGGAGATAGTGGCATCTACTTCTTAGCTGCCTGGAAATATTCCTAGACATGGTGAGAACTCCCTCAGCCCTCCTCCAATGTGTCTGATTCCATTGACTTTCCTACCACTGTAGGGGAATAGTTTAGGAGCCATTTCTCCCCTGAGTACCTGGTGGGAACCAGGCCACAACATGGCTCACATCCTCAATACCTCATCTTATCCACCAGGTAGTCCTGTGAAGCAAGTATTATCCTTATTTTACAAATGACAAGATTGACTCTTACAGCAATAGATCTGTTAGAATTTCCAGGTTGATTCATTTAGTTTTTAGTCCCAGACATAATATGAATTTTACTTGTCATCTTATGTTCTGATAACAGGAATTATGTCTTCATTGCCTTTGTAAGTTCACCAAACAGTTCAATTTCTTATTATGTATTGTTTTCAGCTTTTATTTTTTAGTATGACAAATATAATCCATATCCTTTAGTAAAGAAAAGATAGAGATGAGTGAGCAAAGTAAAAGAGTCACACATTGGGGTGCCATAGCATGATAGAGGACCCAGGAACATGTGTGCGGACCCAGCACTCATGTTAGAGGACCCAGGAACATGATAGAGGACCCAGCAACAGTGCCCACTGGCCTGGCTACACCTAGGGAAGACACAGGGATGTGCACAGCAGCAGAGGAATGTCATGGAGGTACATAAAAGAGGTGGTAGGACTCATTTTTGAACACAGGTGAGACCTATTCTTGGCTGCCCTTCAGGAATAACCATTGCCTACTTTTCAGTGTACACGCTTTAAAAGTTTTCTTTGTGCAGAAATGCATTATACAAACATTTACATTTTTATAAAAATTGCCTGATACTGTATATGCGGTTCTGCAAACTGTTCTTTATTTATTTTTTACAATGTGTCATGAACATCTTTTCCATGCACATGGGTGAAAATCCTCTACTAAAATATAGAGCGCTGTAGTTGGGTCAAAAGGCTGCTGGTAACGAGATTGACATCTAAAGCAAAAATATCAGCTTAAGGTTAAAGCATTGGGCCTGGCAAATATCTACCAGGGAAAGCAGGATTGGCAATAATCTCATCAGAGAAGTCAGAGTGGAAGGCCAAAGGCATTAAAGGTATGGGATATCGTGTAAGCCTCTTTGGCCTCTACCTCCACCCCTCACTCCCCTGACACCCCGTTGTCCCCTTGGGGCGAATGGATCCTGTACATCTCTTTGCATCCAATGAAAACCGCCCATTTTCTGTTTTTTCCTTAGCTCCTCCTGAGCCCTTGACACATCTCCACATTCTCTCATCATCTCCTCACTGCTCAGATGCCTTTCCTGTAAGTCCTCCTGAGAGTCCTTGGGGGAATCGTCTGTCCCCCTGTCCGTTTTTCTTTTTGCTTTCCGAGGCACATAATCTCCAGCCGGGCGCTTTTCGGCGGCCCGCGGCTGGCTCTCTGTCTTTGCCTGGGAGGCTGGCTTGTCCTCGCCTTGTGGCTTGCCCTCACCTTCGGACTTGCCCTGCTTTTCCTGGCTTCCCTCATCTTCCGGTTGTCCCTCATCACCTGGCTCTCCCTTATCCTCTCGCTTTCCCTTGCATTCTGTCTTCCCCTCCATGTCTGGCTTTTCTTCCTCCTCTGACTTTCCTTCATCATCAGGCTCTACTTCATCTTCTGGCTTTCCCTCGTTTTCCAGGTTTCCTTCATTTTTATTGTAGGGTTTTTCCATGTCGAGATTTCTCTTTTTCCTGTCCTGGGGGATGACAGTGAAGGGAAGAGGAGACAAAGAGGAGACATGGGAGACTGAGGGCCTGGGGTGGAATGCAGGTCTGAATAGTAATTGCATCTCACCCCTGGTGAGGGTTCCCCTAAGCTGGCCGGGCCTCCAAGAGGTCCTTCTGCCCGCCAGGTAGCCCATCACTCCTCCCACACACGTGAGCCAGTCATTCCCTGGCAGGCCTTGCCTCCTTCTCTGAACGGATTCAGCCTGGTAAGGTGTGTGTTCACGTGGGTGGGGGGATGGGCAGGGGTCCCAATTCGGCCTTGGCCGGGCCCTCCACACTCTCAACCCTTGTGGGCCCCCGTCCATGCAGCCCCCTGCTTTCACGGACCTGCGGGGATTCTGGACAGGTTGCTCCTCCTTTTCAGGCCTCTCAGAGCGCTGGGAACAACAGACGCGCAGACCTGCGGACAGACAGGAGACAGGGGCAGGGACTGCGCGCTCAGCGGGCTCACAGGGACTCGGTTCCCTTTCCTGAGTCCAGGCCCTTCTCATCCAGCGTTTTCCTCCCCTACCTCCCCCGCACCCCAACCGCCATTTCTTTCCAGGCCTCGGGCACCAAACCAGGATGCTTTCCAAACTGCGTTTGTCTCTTAGTGCCCTTCCCCCGGAAGCAACCTGTCTCAGCGCCACCCCGTTTTTGCGGAGGTCAGATGTTTACATGGGAGAGGATTGTGAGAGGGGGTTATTTCCAGAATATGTCTACGTTTCACTGTCGCACTGCGGGGTCGCTATCCCCCCCCCCCCTTTCCAGCACTAAAATGGATGGAGGGCTCAGTGCAAGGGGGCGTCGAGAAGGTGGGCCAGGCTCGCTTCGGGGGTTCTCCCTTCCCTGCCCCCGCCCCGGCCCGCTCCGCATCCCCCTTCTCACCAATCTACAGGATCCCTTCTCCGCCCCCTCCCCAATCCTACTACCGGCTCCCTCCACCCCTGTCTCAGGGTCCGCCGGCAGCGCCTGCCTTCACACTGACCTGCGGGTACCCAGGACAGGCTTGTGCCTCCTCGGGCTCGCGGAAGCCCGCTCGCTGCTCCCCCGCCGCCTGGGCAGCTCAGACAGCTGATTCTGCGCGGGCGCCTGGACGGGACCGCAGGGCGGGCGGGCGGGCGGGCGGGCGCGGGGGCTGGTGCCCACGTAGGCGCCTGGTCACTCACGTGAGCACCGCGTCACCAGAGCTAGGCCACCACCACCCCCTTCCCGCCCACCTCACCATCCATCCCGAGGGACTGGGAAGTTGCGGAAGGTGGGAGAGTGTGTGTATAACAAAGGAATGGGAGCCATCAGGAAGAAGAGGAGGGGTGGCTTTCTGACCCCAGGTGCTTTACCTGACACAGCTCACAGCATCCTCACAGGGCATCTCTCTCTGATGTCCATTATCGCCAGGTGTGTCAGCTGATCAGAGAGGGTACTCGACTTTGCCAAGAGCGCTCAGCCCCAGAACTCCACAGCTCACTTTCAATACCGGCTTTGCCTGACTCCAGAGCCGGGGTAGTGGTGCCTGCCAGGAAGCTGAGCTGCCACCTTGAGTGGCGGTGTTCCTGGGGTTCTGTCCTGGGCCTCCTCTCTCCTCAGTCCTCAAGTTGTCTCTCCCTGTGTGATCTCATTCATTTCCAGAAAGCACCGATGACTCCCAGATCTACATCTCCAGGCTATTCCCTTCTCTGTGTCTCATATCAGTTTTTCCAGTTGTTTATTGGATATCACCGCCTCTGAGGGACACGGTGCGTCAAAGCCCTGTAACACAAATTGATTTCAAAAGCCCGTGTACCCCAAACTGATTTCACCAACTTCCTTCTTGTCATCTCCATTGGCCTTTCTCCACACTTGAAAGTTACCTTCCAACAGCTGACCAGTTTTCATAGAAAGAGAATGTCAGACAGCTAGAAAAGAAAGCATTCAAACGTTTTTAATATGAACTTCAGATCCACAAATTCATCACAGCCCTTGGTTCACAACATGCTCTTCTCACTGACTACTGCTCCTCCCCTCCTTTCCCCTCTCCTCTCCTCCCTACTGTTTACTTTCCTTCCATTATTTTTCCCTTTCACATTTGTGAAACCACCACTAAACTCAAGGAACTAGAAAACTGCTAATAACTGTTTACTTTCCTTCCATTGTCTCTCTCTTTCACATTTGTGAAACCACCACTGAACCCAAAGAACTAGAAAATTGCTAATATTCTTGTCACTACAGTGTCGTGTCATATATTTGGGTTTTGACAAGATGTTTATAACATGTTTTTGTTTGGATCTCTTTCAGATTATCCTGTTTGGAGTGTATTGAACTTTTTGGGTACATAGACTAGTGTCTTTCCTCAAGTTTGAGTAATTTGCAATCATTCTTCCTTTGAAAATTATTTCTGCCCTATTCTATTTCTCTTCTTGTTGAACACCCATCATGCATAGGTGTGCTCTCTTCATTTTTCACATTATTTTTATTTTTCTGCTCCTCAAACTGAATAATCTCAATTGACCTATTTTAAGTTCACTGATTCTTTTGCCTGCTCAAAACTACCGTTGTACCCCTGTAGTGAATTATAGTTATTGTACTTTTCAAATACAGAATTTCTATTTATTTTATAATTTCTACATCTCTTTTTATTTTTACATCTTTGCTGATATTCTGTATATGCTGAGACATTCTTCTCTTTTTCTTCAGTCCTTTGTTTATGATTTCCTTTAGTTCTTTGAGCATATATAAGACAGTTGATTAAAAATATTTTCTTGTTATTCTAATACATGGACTTCTTCATGATAGTATCTAATTATTTCTTTCCTGTGTATGGGCTATGCTTTCTTATTTCCTTATATGCCTCACAAAGTTTTGTTTAAATCTGTGTATTTTGATTCTAATATGTTAACTCTGGAAATTAGATTCTCCCTCTTCCTT